GAACTGGGCAATCGTTCTGGATTTTCGAAGTTCAAACTGAAATCAAGTCTTGCCTGACTTCCCACTTGGTCAGTGATCGTATTAGAGTTTAATTCTGCTTACAGAGCAGTGCTGTCTAACTTTCGTTTATTTGGCTAACTTTTCTCGAGTTGCAAGCAACTTGGCATTACCCATGTAAAACAAAGATTAGGTAATTTCTTTTTCATCTGAGGTGCATGAGTTGTTTGAACCCTCCTCCTGAAAAGGTGGTGCAAGCAGAGTCCTTGATTTTTGTTTTGCAGAGAAGTTTTCATTGAGCGAAGCGTTGTAAAGTTATCAGGACTAGGTGAGAATGTGGATTTGAAGTTGCAGTCAGATCAGGCATGATCTTACTTGATGCGAAGCAGGCTAATGGCCTACATTACAGTCCCTACCTGAAATGTCGACTTTCCTGCTCCTCTGATGCTGCCTGATGTGCTGTATTCCTCCAGCATTACGCTGTATTGTTTCTAATTCATAGGTTTGTATGGATTTTGCAGTGAAAATTACTGTGAAACTACCAGCATTCATCCTATTACACTACTGAGACTACATGTGGAAGTCCCAGTGTGAATGCAGATTTTGTGTGTAACTCTACGTTTATCCAGTGACAGAAGTGTTAACACTAGAAATAGGAGCTGGAGTAGGTTATTCAGTTCTTCAAATCTGCTGTGCAATTCGACTAGCTGATTTCTACCTCAGTGCCGTTTTCTAGATTATCCCCATACCCCTTTGTGTCTTTAATATCTAGAAATGTATCGGTCTCTGGATTGAATATACTCAATGATTGACCTTCCACAGACCTTTAGGGTAGAGAATTCCAAAGATTTACCAGTCTCCAAATGAGGAAATCCCTCCTTTCAGCCCTGAATGGCCTGCCACTTAATCTGACACTGATCCTGAGGCTTGCATGCAGCCCTCCCCATCCAGTGGAAATGATGTTCCTGTATCTACCCTGTCAAACGCTGGAAGAATTTCATGTGCTTCATCGAAAGCAAATCTCATTCTTCTAAACTCTAAAGAATATAGGCATAGTCTCTTCGTTGGACAATTCTTCCAACCCAGGAATAAGTCTGGTGGATCTTCATTATACTCTGTCTAAGGTAAGTATAATCTCTAATATTCTCCCAAGCTGCACCAATGAGAAATCAATTGCATTGATGAAAACTTTGACTCTTGCACTGTTAGTCTTGCTGTAAAAGTGCTTGAATCAGTTTCAGATTTTTGAGTAAGGTGTAACTGAGGTTTTAAAGGCATACAGACTTGAAAATTGCTGTAAAAAGACATTTTTTTGAAGCTTCCCATCTTGCATTCATCAGGACAGTTGCAGTAATAATACGTTCCCCAATGTAAAGGGGAACAACATTTTATCCCATGTAAGAAGGAAATGCTGATTGATTTGCACCTGTACTCTGATTGACAAAGGCAAGCTATAGTGAATGCACAAATTAAATGATGACTGAATGTTGACTACCCAGTTTTGTTTAAATTTACACCAGGCAGGTTTACTGGGCAAAACGTCTTCTTTGAGGAATGAACTGAAGAATGGCTGCCATCTCTTAAGTTGAAACAGACATGATGCATGAACGTGTTCTTTCTGTCTGCAAAGACCAAGGCCCTGTGAATTAATATGTGTGGTATGTGCCATACTGTGAACCCAACTGATTGTCTTAAATTGGTAGTCAGCATGACGCTCAGGGTTACATACTTAGCAAATATGGTCCAATGGCAAAATCATATCTATTATTGGATCATCTAGGACCAACATGGGTGTTGGGTGTGGTTGGGACCACGACTGTTGTGAACAACAAACAGTGTCCTGTTTCATGTAATCTGCCAGTCTTTGGGAAATGAAGTCTACATACCTAGCATTGCATCGGCACTTAGGTTTGTGCACCTCATTACTGATTTGTGTGATAAGCAGAATATCTAATTGTTAGGTATTTTGTCCTATGTGTAAAATCTTGAGTGTGATTTGCTGCTTAACTGCTTGCTAGCATCATGATGTTGCACATGAAGCTATCCCCTTGCACGAGATTTTAAACTGATGTTGGGAAGGGGGAGAAATCTTGCTACAGATGTTGTTAGAACTTTGTGGATGAATTTCTTTGGTGGGCAACAGTGATTGACCATTGCATAATCCAAACTGAGGATTTAAGAATCGTGTAAATGCTATTGCTGACTTGAATAACACAAGCCATTGTTGGTTAAATTCTGTGCTGTTTAATTCAGGTTGGCATGATTTTGGAATGGCACTGGGAAATTAGTAAATCCAGTACACCTGCTTAATCAATTTACCATAGAGAGTCATCCATGAAAATAATTAATGTGGTTGAGTTAGTCATGGATTTACATGTGTCCTTTACAGTTTACTCAGTGTAAACATTTGCTGTTAGTTAATAACAGCAAGGATTTGGCATGTATTGTGTGGTCATCTGTCTCCTTGGTGAGTTAGAAATCTGATAACATAACTATTATAACATCTGTAACATAACATCTATTAACAAGAGTAAGAAAAGGTTTAGACCAGGAAATAGTTCACATCTGCATGATTAGACTTGCTTCTTTGTAAAATTAATAATACCTTTCTTTACATATATTCTCTGTTAAATAATGCTCAGCTTTAAACGTATTAATTGATCACACTCTATTGATCAGTCACTGTTCAGATACTTAACAAAGGATTTACATCAGACCCTAATTTAAGCTTTGCACTTGCTATAGATTTCTGTGATGTGATGTGAATCAGGTGCAAAGGCCCAAATTAGCATGTAGAGTTGCACTGCCTCTCAGTCAGTTTTGTTTCGTTAACAAAGTGCTGGAGAAAATCAGCAGGTCTGGCAACATCTGTGGAGAGAGAAGTACAGTCAACATTTTGGAATACGTACGATATGACTCTGAACACTCTTACGTTCACTTGGGGTGGTGGTGGTGTAGTGGAAATGTCACTGGACAAAAAGTCCAGAACCCTTGGTTGAGGGGGGGGCATGGGTTCAAATCCCATCATGGCAGATGATGAAATTTCAATCCCACAAAAAGCTGGCCCAATGATGACCATGTAACCACTGTTTTCTTTTTTGGTTAAAAACCCATCTGGTTCAGTAATGTCTTTTAGGGAAGGAAATCTACTGTCTTTACCTGCTCTGGCCTACATGTGATTCCAGACCAATAGCAAAATGGTTGATTTAACTGCCCTCTGAGAAAATGAGGTTGGGCAATAAATGTTGTCCTAGTCAATGATGCCCATATCCCATGAACAAATAAGTGTTTTGGCTCTGATTGTGGTACAGTGTTATAAGTTAATGTTACAACTGCTGTGTGATTACACATTTAAACATATGATCAAGTAATTCACATAGAACTTCTGTATAACCCAGGAAACTTGACTAATTTAAATCTTTTGTTAGTTATCTTGTACGTAAGCATCTTTATCTCACAGTATAAATTGTTGTTCCCTTTTGAAATTTGGCATTCTTGTGGTTCTGTCCTGGTAACGGTAAATCAAAAACCTGCTGTGGTTCATTTCTTTTCAGGAATACTAAGGTTCTCTTCCCTCTCCTGAACCCTTGCTATCTTATGAGCAAGACCTTTGGCGACAGGTTGTGAGCTTAAGGATGAGAGTGGGTCAAGTGGTAGGAAGCATTGAGCAGAGGATGCTGAAGAGGGATGTTGTCAAGCAAGCGGTTTGGTTTTGATGAAGAGGGACATGCCTAATAATAGTGTTAAATCAAAAATATAGGAACAGGAGGTGATCATTTGGTTTGTCAAGCCTACTCTGCTGTTCAGATTGATCATGTCTGATCATAAACTTAGAGAGACTAAGAACTGCCAATGCTGGAGTCAGAGATAACGCAGTGTGTAGCTGGAGAAGCGCAGCAGGCCAGGCAGCATCAGAGGAGCAGGAAAGTTGACGTTTCGGGTTGGAACCCTTCTTCAGAAAATCATAAACTTGATGCCTTTTACCCATCCCACTCCCATATGACTGGTAATCACAAATTTATCATTTTCTACCTTACACATGTTCAAAGATTGAACTTCCACTAACATTCCAAAGTTACATAACCCTCTCAGTAAAAACATTTCCCCTTGTGTTGGACCTAGGTGGATCCCCCTTATTTTTAAATTGTCCTCTCTGGTTCTAGACTCCCTCACCTGGAGAACATATTATCTATTCCTTGAAGTGTTTTGTAAACTTCAATGACATTACCTCATACTCTTTGAAATACCCAGTTTGCTCAATCTCTCCACAAGACGTTTCTGCCATCCTGGGGAAAAAATCTGGTGAGCCTTTGCTGCACTCTTTCTGTGGTAATAATATTTTTCCTGTAAAAAGGAAACAAAACCTGCATATAGTTCTCAAGGTGCAGACTAACGAAGTTCCTGTACAATTGAAGCAAGACTTCACTACTCCTATACTCAAATCTGCTTCCATAAATGCTAACTTTCCATGGAATGGATGGAAGGTTGGCTTCCATGATGATCTGAGCCATGCATAGCACCTTCTATAGTTTCTTATGATCCTGGGCAAAGCAGCTGCCATACCAGGCTGTTATGCACCCAGACAGTAAGCTTTCAATAGTGCATCTGTAGAAGTTGGTGAGGGTCCTTATGGGATTGCCAAATTTCCTGAGCTGCCTGAGGAAGAAGAGGCATTGTTGTGTCTCCTTGACCATCGCGTCTATGTGGGAAGTCCAGGACAGGTTGTCGGTTATAGTCGTTCCGAGCTTGACGCTCTCCACCCTCTCAATCTCAGTTCTGTTGATGTAGATGGGGGCATGTTCTTTTTTGAAGTCAATGATCAGTTCGATAGTTTTGCTTTCTAGTCTTGCCTAGTATTGTACCCTCTGTAACCCTTTTAAAAGTCTACTTTTCTAAAACATCTGTAGCTGACAATGCTTTCAAATGGGATAGGATTTTGAACTAGACCTGTGTAAAGCAGTTCCATGATTGAGGATCAGTTTGAAATATTTTAATTTTGTGATAATATAGCCAAGTATGTTCCTAAATCACCACATCTGTACATCGTTCCTTCTAGTTCAATTTTTTTATCTACTGTGACCCTTTTTTAAATTCATTCAGAGGATGTGGGCATTGCTGGCTATTGCACATCTCTAATTGCTCATGGAGCTGTTAAGAGCCAACCACATTGAGAGTCTAGAGTTATGTGTGGGCCAGACTGGGTAAGGACAGCAGTGTCCTTCCCGAAAGGATGTTAGTAAATCAGATAGGATTTTATAATAATCGATCGTTAAATGGTCGTTATTTAACTATTACAGATTTTTATTAAATTTAATTCCACCATCTACCATGATCTGGGTCTCCAGGTTAATAGTCTAGCGATAACAACACTGGGCCATCACCTCATCTGATGTACTGATTACCCATTTTGGATATCCACATCATAAATCTTCACAGGAACAGTACCATTAACTGTTTTGTAAAGCCACAGACATCAGAATTAAAGTATGCATGCTTTTATGATCTGGCATTTAGTAATTGCAATTGACTGGCATTTTCCCAGTTTTCAACTCTTAAGTAATTATTTTATTGTTTCTACGCATGTATTTGTTAAAGGAAGTAGTCAGAATATACTTCACTGTGAAAATCAGTTGCAGACTGCTTTCCAGATGTTGTTAATGGTGATATCTGTAATTGAGTTGACAGACTCCTACAGTGTAACCTTTTGCTGTGAGGAATGCCATGGAAGATCAGCCAGAAAGAAAATAGCATTACAGCATTTAATGGGAATATGATCCTGTGCCAAATAGGTTAAGATTAATCTTCTTCTGATTTTTAAATTTGACTTTTAATGAAGTAACTATGAAATAAAAATTGACTTCAGTTTTGTTTCTGTATTTAGTTTGTGTCAGGAAAGTTGTGATTACACACAATTATTCTACTTCATGCACAATTTTGGTGAAAATTATTTGCTTGCCTTTAATGCAACTGTCTGTAATCAGTAACCGATCACCTTGCATTTTTGAAACACTCAACAGGTTTAGCAGTATCTGTGGGGAGGAGAGGGTATGTTTATCAGGCTGAAAATGCTATCCCTACCACCTTCACTGCACAGATATTGCCTGATCTACCAAGGTTCTGTTTTTATTTCAGATTTCCAGTATCAATGGTATTTTGCTTTTTGATTGCAGGTTTGGTAAACCTTCTCGGTCGTAACGTTTGCAAGTGTCAGGGTTGAGAAAGTAGTATAAATAGTTAACTATAAAAGTTCCCCTGTTAATGGCTTTACCTGAATAGAGATTATAAATGTCCCAACATTTGGGATGACATGAAAGGATTCCTTCAGTAACAATACTTTACATCTTTTTAATCTTGGTTTCAGTGTGCATGATTGGCATTTAGATTTTATTTGGCAGTGGAAAACATTATCAACATAATCAGAAAAAGGACTTCTCAAATTCTGAAATAGTACTGGAACCAAACTGTTTGCATCAGAAATGTTCCAAGTAGGTTGGTTGCTGTTAGTTTGGAAATAATCAGACAGAATGATATCTATTATCATATAATGAAAAACTCAAAAGATGTCAGCATCTTAAATGATCTCTGTTTAACCTTGCTGGCAAAGGTTATTTAGAATCTCTTAGAAAGGTGGAACACATTGTCAAGTGTTTCGCAAGAACACTTCTTAGAAATGCAGTGCTATTCCTAAAACATTGCATTCAGCTACCGTTGTGACTCAAGACCCCAAAGTAGTTTCAGACCTTTTACTCCTTCACCCCAACCACAATCCAAACTTGTCTTTTTCTCTAACTGATTTTTTGATTATTTGATGGCATGTAGTTGTCATTGGCAAGGCCAGATTTATTGCCTTCTTAAATGCTCTTGAACTGGATGACCTACTAGGCCATTCAAGAGAGAGTTAAAAATAATCTGTATTGCAGTGAGTCTGAAATCACTGTAGCCACGCCAGGTAATTGTGGCCACTTTCATTCCTGAAAGGACTCTAATGAATCACGTGAATTTTGCAACAATCAATGATATTTGCCACCATCACCATTACTGAGAGTCGCTCTAGATCCATGACATATTAATGGAATTCCAGTTCCACCAGCTGTAGTGGTGGGGTTCAAATCCTTGTTCCAAGAACATTAAACTGGAACTCTGGATTAGTAGTCCACTGACAAGATCACAATCCCACCATTTCCTTTTCTTTAATGGGAAGTAAATCCTTCCTGTATGCAGACTTTGCACATTTTGAAAATAAATGGGCAAGCAAAGGATCCAAGATTTATCAACCATTTAAAATATATACTAAAAAAACAGAATAACATGTAATGCACAACAACAACAAAAAATGCTATGGGCAATGTCAGACATGTTTGACTTAGAGCAGGCAGGGCTGTGGAAAACCCTCTTGTTGATTGCATATGATTCAGCCACCGGAACAATCTTTATCTAATCACATTGTGTAATATCAGCTTCTAAATAGGAAGCAAATCTGCTTCTGCAAATAAAAAGAAACGTGAAATTAATTATTTTATATGAATGACATTGAGAATAACACACCTGTGGAGTTTAAAAGGTACTAATGTAATTTGCAGTATGTTCTAATGAGATATTTGCCACTGATGTGAAAGCAACGGCTGCAGCATTCGACAAGATCAAACATATTTTTGAAAGTAAAACTTCTTAAATGGTTTTCCCAGAAATAAAACACAAGTTGATTAATTAAAATATTTTCTTTGATCTTTTCCCTTAGCAAATCTGCTGTATAACATAGAGCACTGAAGAATAATGAAATGGAATTCAATAAAATGTCTCCTCTTGACTTTCCTGTATGCGGTGGAATCCTACTAATGAGACATTGCTAACAAACTGTTGTAAGTTGATCTTGAATTCTTTACTGCAATCACATATAGAAATGCACAGTAATTTCACTGTTTTGCACTGTACAAAGCAGCAAACTATGAATTTTCCTCAAGAATGATGGAAGCTATTTAGTCTGTTGCACCTGTCCCATCTCTTTTAAATAGATTTAGTTCCCATCCCCTACATTTTTCCTTTATCCCAATAAAGATTTTCTTTTCAAATACTTATCCAATTCCTTGTTAAATTTATTATTGAAACTGCTTCCAACAGTTTTTCAGTTAGTGCTTTTCATATCATAACTTGCTGCATTAAAAAAGGTTTTCTCATGTTGCCTCTGATTTTTTTTTTAATTGCCTCAAATCTGTGCCTTCCTGTTAGCAACACTTCTACCTGAAACAGATTATTTTTATTTTATTAAAGCCCTTCCTATTTTTCTTAATTTCCTCTGTATGAAGAAGTATGACCTCAGTTTCTGTAAACACTATAATTGAACTCTTTCTTTCCTGGTACCATTTTAGTAAGGCCTTTTGATATCCTTAATCAAGTGTGAAACCCTGAAGACCATGGACCATAGAAATTTGGCATCTGCCATTCAGTAGGCTCATGGGAGATCTGACAACCCTCCGTTACTTTCCTGTGTTTTCCCCGGTAGCCCTTGATTTTCCTATTGATCAAAAATCTCAGCCTTAAGTATTGCAATGGACTCTGCACCCACAGCTGTCTGTGGCAATGAGTTCCAGAGACACTGAAAACACTGAAATTTCTTGTCATCTCCGTCTCAAAGTGGCATCCCTTTGTTGGGAGATTATGCTTTGCCATCAGAGGAGCACCCTGTCATCATTTACCCTGCCAAGCCCCTTAAAAATCCCATACGTTTCAATGAGATCACCTCTCATTCTTCTAAACTCCATCAAGTAGAATGCAAACTCATGTAACCTTTGCTAATAAGACAATCCCTCCATACCTGGGATTTTTCTAGTGAATCTTCTCAGAACTGCATCCAATTAAATAGTATCTCCCTTTATTTAAAGGGACAAAAACTGCTCACAGTACTCCGGATGTGGTCTCACCAGCACCTTGTACAGTTGAATTGAACCATCCCTACTTTTGATACTCCAATCCCCTTGAAATAGGAACCAACATTCCATTAGCCTTCCTGATGACCTGCCTTATCTGTGTGCTAACTTTGTGTTTCAGATGCTCACAAGTCCCTTTGTGTTGCAGCTTTTTGCAGTTTTTCTCCGATTTAAATAATTTTATTCTCCCTTCCAAAATGAACAACTTCACATTTCCCACATTGTATTCGATTTGCCAACTTTTTGCCCACTTAAACTATCAATATCTCTGTGTAAACTGTTTGTATCCCTCCCACAGATTGTCTTTACACCTATATTTGTGTCCTCTGCAAACTTGACTGCAGTACATTCACTTCCTTCTTCCAAGTCATTAAAATATATTGTAAACAGTTACGGTCCTGGCACTGATCCCTGTGGAGATATGTGTATCAATTTGTTACAAGTTACAAATTACAAACCTGAAAAAGATCCCTTTATCATCATTTGCTGTTTCCTGCCCATTAGCCTTTTCTCTATCCACATCAATATATTACTTCCAACACTGTGGGCTTTTATGACTTAACCTTTTGTCAGGTACCTTTGTTGAATGCCTTCTGGAAATCCAAATACAACACATCCAATGCTTTCCTCTCTGATTCCCACTATCCCATCTGGTTGGGACTTCCTCGAAAAATTCTAATAAACTAGTCAGACAGGATTTCTCTTTCATGAAGCCATGCAGACTCTGTTTGATCAAATCGATTTTCCAAAAGTGTTGCTTTTCTTGTTAATCATCCATTCCAATTTTTTCAATAATAGACGTTAGGCAAATCAGCCTAAATTTTCCTGCTTTTTGCCTCCCTTTTTGAATGAAGCTGTCACCCTTAGCAGTTTACTACTCCTTCATTTTGTACTTCCTCACTTTTGTACTCATTATTCGCTTTCTAAAGTTAAGGATGTTTCCTTCCTTGGCCTGCCCCACCAAAGATTTATGTGTGCACACCAGTAGGTCTTGGTCCCTTTTTGTTTTGTTTTGGTCTCTAGCCTAAGGAAGGATACTCCTTGAAACAAAGTTCACGACATTGATTACTCGTGTGAAAGAACTAACTCGTGAAGGTAAATTGTGTAGAATAATCTTTTTTTTTAAAAAAAGAGTTTAGATGAGCAGTGATCGCATTGAAACATAAAATTTCTAGTGACCCTGACATGTAGATGCTAACAGTTGTTTTCCCTGGTTGGAGACTCTAAGCCTAGAGGGCAATATTAAGATAAACTTTTGTCCAATTAAGGTTGAGATGAACAATTTGTTTTCTAGATGGGTGATGAATCTTTGTAACTTTCTATTATAGAAGGTGATGGTTGCCAGACAATAAGTACATTCAAAACTGGGATTGATAGACTTTTAGTCACCAAGGGAACATCTTATGGGACAGAAAAGTGGAGTTGACACTGATACTGTCAACTTTTTTTGTCTAATTTTTTGCTTGTTTTTAATTTCGACTTCTCATTGGCTGTGGAGCAATAAAAAGAATTTATGGATTTTTGTTTTGCCGATCAATTTTCAGTTTAAAGAAAAGGCTGGCTCACTTTGTATCCTAAAAATGCATTTCTTTCTACATTTTACAGGACAGAAGGTGAACGTCAGATGAAAGGGATTTAAAGGGATAAACTGTTTGAATACTCACGTAAAGGATTCTAAAGATTAAGAATCTCAGAATGTGACTGGTTTTTCCACAAAAAGAGGCTGTGGTTGGACAATCATGTTTGGAAGTCTGTTCAGAAGAAATCCATCTCAGAAGCTAAGTGTTTTGCTGTTGATTTTTGGGTTTATCTGGGGCTTGGTACTACTCCGATATACATTCCAGCATCCAAAACACCAAAGCAGCATAGAACTGCGTGAACAGATTCTGGAACTCAGTAAAAGATACGTCCGGGCTCTCGCAGAGGAAAATCAGAATGCAGTGGATGGTCCTCATGGTGCTTCAATGGCAGGATATGGTAAGAGCTGAAAAGCATATATTCTGGTTGTGTGTGTTCCCTTTGGTGAGAAGAATCATGCTGAAAATGTCTGTCACGTTTTAATTGTGTTAGCCAAGTGTTAGGATACTGAAGCTTAATTAGAGGAACGTATACTGTTTTGATATGCAACAGTTATAACGCAACCTGATATCACTACTGGACAAATCAGATCGCAGAATGAAGTCTAGCTTGATAGGTCATATTTTGTTACTTTATTTTCAATTAACATTACTGTCTTTCACTGAAACACAAACATGCAAGGCTGCAGATTGTTTTAACAAGAAGTGGATAAGTTGGTGAAGGAGGCATATGGCATGCTTGCCTTCGGTGGTTGAGAATTAGGTTTAAATTGGCAAGTCATGTTGCAGCTGTTTAAGATTTTTTAGTTAAGCCCATTTTGGAGGAATATGTGCAGTTGTGGAGGCTTTGGAGAAAGTGCAAGAGAGGATGTTGCTTGGATTGGAGTGTTTTTTTTTTTTGTTCGTTTATTCATTCACGGGATGAGGGCATCGCTGGCTAGGCCAGCATTTATTGCCCATCTCTAATTGTCCAGAGGGCAGTTATGAATCAACCACATTGCTGTGGGTCTGCGGTCACACATAAGACAGACCAGGTAATGATGGCAGTTTACTTCCCTAAAGGACATTAGTGAACCAGATGGGTTTTTCCAACAATTGGCCGTGGATTCATGGTCATCATTAGACCCTAAATTCCAGATATTTATTGAATTCAAATTCCACCATTTTTCGTGGTGGGATTTGAACTCTGGTCCCTAGAACATCACTGGGGTCTCTGGATTAACAGTCCAGTGATAATACCACCGGGCCATTGCCTCCTCGTAATTTAGCTATAGGGTTAGGCTGGACAAACGTGGATTGCTTTTGCTGGAGCATTAGAGGCCGAAGGGCAACTTGATAAAAGTATATAAAATTGAGAGATGTGGATAGGGTGGATAGTCAGACTCTTTCTTTTTTTTTTTTAAAAACCCAGGGTGAGAATGTGAAATACTAGGGAACATAGGTTTAAGGTTAGAAGGAAAAATTGAAAGGAGAAGAGCGAGGCTACTGATGTGGGATGTGATAATCTAGTAGTATTATCGCTAAACTATTAATCCAGACTTGGTTTTGACCCTGGGACCCAGTTTCTATTCTTGTCATGTGAGATGGTGGAAATTTGTATTCAATAAATATCTGGAATTAGGAATTTGATGATGACCATGAAACAAATGTCGATTGTCTTATCTGGTTTGGTATACATGTGACACCGGATCACAGCAATGTGGTTGACATTTAACTGGCTTCTGGGCAATTAGGGATGGGTAATAAATGCTAGCCTGGCCATGTATGCCCACATCTCTTGAACAAATTTAATTTTTTTTTATACAGGGGATAATAGGTGTGCAGAACGCACTGCAAAGGGAGATGATGGAAGCAGATACAAAAGCAACGTTTATGACACATGAACAGGCAGAGAATAGAGGGATACTGACCACGTGCTGGTACATGGGATTAGTTAGGATGGCATCATGGTCAGTGCAGACATGGTGGGCTGAAGGGCCAATTTCAGTCCTGTACTGTTCTATTTTTCCATGTTTATTGTGATTTTAAAAAAAAAACATAACAGAGCTATCTAGAAGTAACACAATTGAAAAGATGTCAAATACCCGGTGAACAAAATCCCATCCAGTCCTTGACACAGGGGAGTTGATGACTTAGTATGATAACACTGTGCTATCAATCCAGAGCTCCACATAATGTTCTGGAGACCTGGGCTTGAATCCAGCATCACAAATGGTTGACATTGAATTCGATAAGAATCTGGAATTCAGAATGTAATGATGACAATGACAACATTGTCAATTGTTGGAAAAATCCACCTGTTCCAAATCCTCAAAAAATAGATTTTGTTATTCATATTTTGAACTATGAAATGCAAATAAATAGATGTGGAGCACTGACTCCTTCTCACTTCAGTTGATGCAGGATGACCATATTAACTTAAGTCTTTATCCAATTCCCTTTTGAATGTGTTTCCACCACAGATTTGGGTAGTCCATTCTAAATCATAATTACCTAGTTTATCCCCTAACAATTTTGCTAATTAACTTTCGTTTACGTGCTTTGTTTATAAGCCCTTCTTCCATTAGAAGTTAGAAAAACAGAAATTGCTGGAATAGCTCAGCAGGTCTGGCAGCATCTGTGGAAAGAAATCAGTGTTCATGTTTCAGGTCAGGTGATGCTTCCTCAGAACAAATGGGGGTTAAATTGGCCACAAAGAGTTGTTGTATGTTCAGCATGCCCTTTGAAACATTACCTCTGACTTCTCTCCACAGATGCTGACAGACCTGCTGAGCTTTTCTAGCAATTTCTGGTTTTGTTTCTGATTTACAGCATCTGCAATTTTTTCAGGTTTTTATTTTGCATTAGAAGTTGTTCTGAGAAGAACTCAGTTTACAAGTAATTTATTTTTAAATTGGTAATCAGCCATGTACCAAAACAAGAAGCAATCTATGGAGCAGATAAGTGGAGAGAAGACGGACAGGTCAAGGAGGCGGGGATGAAGCCAGTAAAGGTGAGTGTAGGTAGGGAGTTGGGGTGGGTGGGAGGGAGGGAAGACGGACAGGTCAAAGAAGCAGGGATGAGGCTAGTAAAGGTGAGGTGAGTGTAGGTAGGAAGTGGGGGTGGGGGTTGGTCAGTGAGGTGGGAGGAGCGGATAGGTGTGAGAACAGACGGACAGGTCAAGGAGGTGGGGATGAGAAGGGGGTGCTGGTCTTGGGATGAGGTCGGGGGTGGGGAGATTTTGAAGCTTATAAAGTCCTCATTGAGACATCTCAGAAATGTATTTGTTCTATTCAAAACTAAGCCACCCAAATGCGCACCCAGTGATCACTTGATATTGTGTGTACACTGTTCCTGCCGGTGAGCTCGAGCATGTTGCTTTCAAATGGGTATAGGTGTCCGCAGGAGTTTAATCAGCTAGCCATGAAAATGGACTGGCACTTTAGTGGAGTGCTGAGGGAATGGTGCATAGTCAAATGACATGTTTCTTTTGTGGCATGTTGAATTGAAATCCTGTCTGCCATGCAAGTGCATGTAAAAGGTGATATGGCACTGTATAAAGATGATTAAAGGGGATCCTTCCAGTATCTTAGATAATACTTATCCCTTCTTGCCCTACTACTAGATTATATGGTCATCTATCTCACTGCTCTTTGTGGTACTTCGCTGTAAATGAAATAGTTTCTGCATTTCATGCATTGCACCAACAAAAACATTAAAAAATAATTGTGGCTAGTTCGCCTAGTGCATGGGCTCAGTATTATGTAGCATGTAGCTCATCATCTGTTACTGAGTCTTCCAATGCCAAGTTGCACTGCAGTAAATTCTTGAATTCTTTTTGCCTGCTAAGCCCATTACCACCGTTGCCTAAAACTCCAAGGTCAACTAATGCATGGCAACATCATCACCTCTAACTTCCCTTCCAAGTTTTTCACTGTCTCATCTTGGCTATATGTTACCTTCATCTTTGCTTCATGAATTATCAAATGTGATTGCTCAGCTAATGTATTCTGGCTCTCTCTAATAGCCTGCAAGGTTTACCACCATAAAGATTGATCAAAATCTTGCCTCACCTTTGCCCCTCTATGCAGTAGTGCTCTCCAGGTGAATACTGTTAGGTAGACCAAGAGAATATGTGAAAGTGAGGACCCTGCTCAATGTGCTTCCACTCCTCACAACACTCAGGCTGCGTCATGACCCAGTGGTCAGTTCTGCCTCTGCAACGGTTAAGTGGAGGAATCTTCGCAAGCCCTCATAGCCTTCCAAATCCAAAAGATGTCATTTAACAGCTCCCAGTTTACACCATCTTTACTGTTTTTTGCTTATTTTGCTGCTGCCTGGTTGATGATGCTGATGCAAAGCCTCAAGCAGAGCAGTATCTATCTGTAATAGAAATACTTTAATTATAAACTGTTTTGTATTTGGGGCAGGGAGAGGTCAATTGGATGTCCTGGTGCAGCTTAACAAAATTGTACCTTTTGAGGGAATTCCAGACAGACAGGTGCACCTGTACTGGTGTCATAGCTCGACCGCATTCAGCCTGTTCATGTGTCACTTCAGCCTCTTCTGAGGAGTTAATGCACTCCAGTCCTTGCTTCAAGTCCAAAACTGGTGACTGCACGATGTTGTGCAGAGAACAGTAAATTCTCAAGATTGTTTAGTTCATATTAAAGGACATCTCCAAATCTGTCCAGGGACCGGAAAACAACATCACCTTGATCGCTTGCTCGAATTCATATCCTGTTGTCACATGCCCATGTTAATAGCATTCTTGAACCTTGTTGTTTAACCTCCTCACTGACATTATCAGTCATGCATTAAGTGGGTCACCTCTATTCTGAAGTGCATTATCCACAGCAAAGCTTCTGCACTTTACACATACGTTCTTTGTGGCAGATGATGCTAAAAAAGTGACATCATGCCTCTGTCTTCAGCACAGGGGATTCTGCTGTAACATGTGTTCTGGCAACGCGAATTGGCTATAACACAACTTACGAATAGGGGAACGCTATTTCTACAATGCAAACCTGTTGGCTATAACGCGATTCCATCAGTGCGCGTCGACATCACATGATCATTTTGTGGGCTTTGAGCATGCGCAATGGGTTAGAGCTGAAAGAGTCTCCATGCCAGCATCACACAATCATCCCACTTTCTGAGAGTTTACAGTACTCCATTTTTTATGCAAATTCTGCCATCTTACCCGCAAAATGCAAGGACAAAGTGACAAGAATGTTAGCAAGAAGCGTCCTGGTGATAAAATTGCGGGTGCTGAATGCAAAAGAAAGGCTTTACCACTGGAAGAGGACCTAGATGTTATAAAGCGTTTTGAGCAGAATGAGAGAACATGTGATATAGTTCGCGTAACAGTAAAGGAGTCTACCTTATGCAGCATTAGAGACAATGCAGAAAAGATAAAATCAAGCTGTATTGCTGGAACAAATCTGAGGTCACGGACAAAAGCACTTTAGATTTAGATTTTTTTGGTGATCTGCCCCTAACCCTGCTTTTCTCATAGGCGCTTTTATTTCTATAGCGCGATGTTGCACAGGAATGCAACTATTGCATTATAGCAGAAACCCCTATATACTGAATTTAAGACCTTAGAGCCATGAATGCTCTTAGTTTTCTCCTTTTTCTCATCTGACTCCACACAGCCATCCCACTCGTCCCAGACTCCACCTGCTGCCTTACAATTATGTAGTAGACTCATATAAAGTAATTATCGTGTGAAGCTTCCAAAGTTGCCATCTTAACAGGAACGGTGAGTCCAATAATGTGATCCAGCATCACTGATATCATAATTAGGATTTGTCAAATGAACAATTATAACTTCAGCATTTTATCACTCGCCATGACAAATTGGCAAAATTAAATTCCTTTGTCATATGCGTTGACTTGACTAAGGTGCTACTAAAAGTTAGTTGAATTGTACGTCTATGGACGTTAGTATAAATTTAATACCCATTCCTCTCAATTTGTTGTCTCTGATAAGGTAGGAATTTTTTTAAAGGCATGTATTTTCAAGGTAAATCCCTTTTGGGGAGTATTTTATGTGCAGTCATGTGCAGTTTCTGTTTTCAGTTCTTGTATTCTGGTCAAAGGGAAATGTGTCAGATGAAAATTGATTGATATGAAACATTTAATATTCTTTTCTTCCTTAGCTGATCTGAAAAAAACAATTGCTGTCCTGCTTGATGACATATTACAGCGCCTGGGAAAGCTGGAAAACAGGGTGGACGACATGCTTACAAACGGCTTGACAAATAGTACCAACAATACCAACACCAATCCTGTGTCAGCAGCTTCCAATAAACAAATGAATGTTCAAGGTAGTATTAGATAGCAAGTCTGCAAAGGGGGTAAGAAAATGGCTTTGCATTTTTTTTGGTTTCCCTTTCTGCTTTGGTAACCATCAAATCTTACAGACCTTTTTTGGAGGGTTTCATTGGCATTTCTGTCCAGTTGAAGTACAGTAAGTATCTGGTGTTCTGTACAATCTCATTGAATTTTGAGATCAGTATATTGTGTTAAAGCTAATTTTGCAAAAAAAATTCAACCTCATGTCATACCGGAACAGGTTGCATGTGAATGCAAATCCTTGGGGATCTGTCTCCTGGTTCAGTGCTATTTTAGTTGGCTGGGTTTTAAAAATGTTATGCTTGTAGTCAAAGGAGATCTGTTGTATGAAATAAAAATGACCTAGCCAAACAATAATATCCCACCAATATGTATTTAAAGTTGTCACATCTTTACTGATGTTAAACTGTAATGACTTTATTTTAAACTGTTTTAAGTGCACTGAATTTGCATGTTAACACAAAACAGTCATGCTGAATAATTGGTCAGTAATGATATGTTTTTGTATGCTACCAGTATATATCCTAGGATCACTTTTTCAAATATAATAATAAGAATACATCATCCCCATTCTCCATTCATTTCACCTAGCCCGAAGTTGTACTTGCACTGATACCTTCAAAGCTGAAGAGATTTTTGAAATGACTGACAGTGAATGTACTGTACAGATTAAAGCTATTGCAGACATTTTGCAATATGCTGTTTAGAAAGAAAGGGAACCTGATTATTTACACACTCATTAAGACATAGATGGGCAATTAATTTTTTTCAATGTTCTGCAAATTTTTGTGTATTGGACTAGTACCACTACCTTAACTTTCTGTACCTGCTAGGCACCTGTTTTTATTTAGATATAAAAAGGTCATCTGCTTGCTTTATTTAATTTGAATTATTTTTTATTGTCGGGGTTTATTACATTGTCTGCTTGTAAAGTTTCTAATTGGTATGCAGAATTACCTTGTACTCAATATATTTCAGGTCGTGAGCTTATTGATGGAAACAGACTTAATTGTGCCCTGTTCCCCAGTGTAATTAAAACTGCAGTACTTTATAGTAAAACATGTCATTCGAGAATAAGGTATCCATCTTTAAAAGTACAGCGAAATCTCCAGGCCAGTTGACCTTTGTGTTATGTATACAGTAATAATGGGAGGAAGCCTGTAGGTGTTCACATTAGAGCTGCAGGTAACATTCATAAAACATTAATTGGGAAAATTCACACGTACTTTGCCTATATATTCAACTCCTAATAAAATATAAATACATTTTTAGTGTAATGAATTTATCAGAAGCTGTGCATTACCATAAAACAAACTGCACAAATAGTCTGACATCTAATGTTTCCTACTCAGTGCTGCAGATTTAAGTATGTATGCTTTTTGTAACTGTGTGCTTTTTGATCTGTTCATCTGCTGAGCAATAAACATCTATTTTTGGGGCTTGGGGTTTACATTTGCTTTGTTACTTTATGCTTCATTTAACTGTTCCTTTTATTTGTGCTGTCAAATGTGTTTTGCAAAGCAAGGAAAAAAACTGAACAAAACTAATTGGACAGCATTTAGTAGATGCTCAGTTTTTTTAATGGTGTTGAACATACTAATTATCTCAATAATTGGCTGCAGCAGTGGGCTGTCATTGTATCCCTTTGTGTTCAAGTCTTGGGCTTAAAGTCTTTCTTCACAGTGATAGGCAAGTGTCTTACGTTAAGAGAGTTTGAATCATGTCAACCTGGCTTTTAATGAACCTAAGCAAGTAACATAAAATTCACCGTATTACTCAGGGAAACATCAGGAACCTTACTGTTTAAAAAAAAAAATCAATGTTCGTTGTGTCATAGGGAATGCACTTCTAGGATAAGACATCATAATGAGAATGTAGAGGTGACTTATTTTGCAACTCACCTGAGAATAGTTCGTGTTGACTTTCAGTTGACAGAAATCCCATTCTCTAGCGCTGTTACATTTGATTTAGACCACAACAGATTTCAGCAAGACCGTTTTTAAATCACAGTCCTTTACTGGCTTACTTGCAGTATTGTGTTTTCAAAGAAGTTTGCAGATAAGTCAGTGGTTGGAATGTTGGAGTTAAAATATTAGTTATTAACACTAATCACATTGAAATTTCTCTTAGAGGTAGTTATGATATTTGTCCAGATAATGTTGTTAGGCTAGGATTTGCCTTCATTTTCGTAACTTTTGCCCAGCGTGTGACCACTTTTAAAACACTATTGCTATCTTAAAATTAAATGCAGTATTGAGAAGGAAATTTAATTTGAATTAAAGCAATCTGAAGAGTGAGAAATGAATCCGTCCAAAGGATTTCCTTTCTGGGTATTAATTCAGATCTAAGGTTGATAGCTTTGTCCTGGAAGTGTATTCTATTTCTCCTCATTGTATTTTCCTAAGTTAATTTAATTGGTATTTTGCAACTAAAGAGTTACTAATATAATATACCAAGTGGTTGAATATGAAGTAAATGATGGAAAACACCACATTTTAAATTAATCTTTTCAGTATTATAATACTAGTACACTATTAGGCAATTATATCTTATTTTTTTCAAGATATTTAAATAAATAGATGGAGGATGAACACCTAGAGAGAGAAAATTGGCAAGTAAGTAGGACTCGCTGAGTTGCTCTTGTAGAGAACTGGCACTGATGTTGCAGGCCAAATGACGACCTATTGTACTGTAACATAAAAACGTCTGCTTACTTTGTTACTGATACCATAACATGCATAGTAAGTCACTTAGTGTTCAGTTTATGGTAAAAATTGTAAGTGCATTATATTAATTATCTTGGCAGCACGAGCCTGAAACTTCTAAAAAAAATTCCAACATTCCAACCTGTCCTAAATTTGATTTGATAAATGTTTTACACCAGAATTGCATTTCCTTTCAGTTCCATACATAAGTGAGTTCGAACTTAAATTATATACAACTTTTGCGTTAACTCCTCCTTGAGGTATGGGTGTGACTAACAAGGCCAACATTTATTGCATATCACTGAGAATGTGGTGGTGGTGTGTCTTCTTGAACTACTGCAGTCTGTATAGTGAAAATAATTTTATTGTTGCTGCAATTCTTTTACTGGCTGCCATATTTTCATTAATAGAGAAACCTATGCTCAATTTGTGCAATATTTGTTGCTTTGCACTTATAACAGAATTTTTTGTAATTTTTGTGCCACTGTTGGGTTAACCAGTTTTTCTTGCAACTTGCACAGGAGTAATATCATCTCTGACTGTTTAATAATCTATTTCAATAATAAAATCGAGATACATGAACTATTTTTGAGAATTTAAAAATACTGGAAATAATTGTATTTCACCGGAGTCTTTTTTTAAACTGTATAGCAAAATAATGTGCTACTGCAAAGCTTAATCATTATTATGTGACATTGTTTCTGGAGCTTTGTGGTTGGAAGTACTTTTAATAAAGTTCATTTAAAAGGCTTACGGCACTATTTTTCACTTTCCTGGTCTGTCTGGTTCTTTTATGTATTGCTTTTCTTTGGGAGTCATTGCTATTTAATGCATATTTCCTGGCTTCTTTCCTTCAGCTTACGCTGTTTTCTGCCAGAAGGTCTGAATTCAAAATCTGCTTTTGGGAGCCTCTGAGATGAAATTCCACAGTATACATTAGATACTGAGTGCAAAATGCCCCAAAGCTATTTAGCACTTCGTTCGAAAGAGATTGTTCTCAGTTTTCTGTTAGAGCTATTAATTTTGATCTTTTCATTAGTTTAAAATTGCAGTGAAATGTTTGAAACAGAGGCACGCAATAGGTTACAAGAGGAGTGCCTGCGTTAGTGGAATAAGATTGGAGTATTAAAGGGCTGATATGGACAGGATGGGCCAAATAATTTTTCTAACCTACTATTGTTTACAAAGAGACAGACTTTTTGAAACAACACAATTTAGATGCAACTGAAGGGAAAGGTAATTCCTGGCAGATTACAGCATATTTTCTGTCTATAATAAAACACATTTTTATAGGAAGGGAGGGGAAAAATCTGTTTATATTTTTATTAAAGTTAGCATAATTGTTGATGGTACTGAAATAGGCTAATTTGCCTTAAGAAAATCATACAAAACAACTTTCTATGGTGTATTTTAGAAATACTGTTATGGTATTAAGAGATTGCCTACATGTAGGCATTGTAACTGGACCGGTTGACATACATATTATTTCTTTGCTGAGGTGTGGTCATCCTTACCATTCTAGTTTCGGAATGAATTTCACAAACTAACTTTTGAAATGAAATATAAGTATGTACTACTCCGCACATGACTGAATATTCAATTTCATATTCTGATATACAATTGAAATGTGCCTTTTCTTTCTACAAAACAAAACTTTATCTAATTATTTGACACCTTGAGGACCAACCTTGGAGTTAGCAGTTAGGTTTTCATCCTCCTACAGCTAGTAAAAATTGAAAGATTCATCAAGTGGTAAAACACCATTGATGAACAGCAAGCCATTAAACATTTACAACTTAAAGAACAACATCTCTTCCTTTGTTGGTCAAAACTCAGTTAAATTCTAGAAAAAATACTCAAGACCTTGGCCTACATTTTTGCTTCCAAGTTGGGATAATTTGCATGTCCACAAAGTGCCCCAAAATTTCTTTTGGAGGTGGGGTGGGGAGTGGTGGACAGGTTTTGAAAGTCATAGCTGCCGATCAGCAAAGAGTTTAAGGGCTGCCGGGTGTGAGGCAGCCTGAGCAAAAGGCCGACTTTGGTGCTCCAGACTTTGTTGCAGCACTAAGGAGAAGGGTAAATTGAGCCTCACTCCTCACTACTTCCACCCACTCCCCATGCTCTATACATGTCAATCCCTATGTTACCACTTGCCCCTCATAATCTCTGTGCCAACCTATGCCTGGTATCCAGTTCCTCCTATGTATGTCACAAGGATGTCCTGCAACCTTTTATAGCTAACCCACAGCCCTCCACTCACTCGGGCATGATTCTTCATGTCCTCACTGCCAACCTATGCTCCTCGACCCACTCACTTGTCCCTTGAAACACATGATTAACTCATACCCCTGTACGTAATTCAGATAATTGCTTCCTGCCTTATAATTTGTTATTAACTTAACCAAACTTCATATCATTACAGAACTTTCAACTTTGTGTGGTTTAACATCAATAGATGGTTTTCCACATTGTGAAGAGAAAATTAAGGTGAGGAAATAAACCTTAAGATCAATTTTTTAAAATGTAAACTTAACCATTTCTTTATTTGTTCCTTAAATATTTATTGTGTTTGTTGTCAGTTTCTTTTGAGGTGGTATTAGCATGCAGGCTTTTGATAATTCAAAAAGAAAAGACTTGCATGAATGTAGTTCCTTTCAAGGTTGAGTAAGCTGCCAGTAGTCACAACCCAGGTGAAGGTCTTATGAATAGTCATATGGGCAAAAATACTGCACAGCATCAAGTGTCTTTGCAGTCATTATTTTGGAACGATTAAAAAATGGTTGAGTATATGTACTAAAAAGCAAAACTGAATTTTGAATGCTTTTATCTGGTTTGATTTATGCCACCTGATCACCAACCTCTCTCGAACGGCTGCAGCCAGGGAGCGGGTTGCCCATCTTGTCAACCATTGTTTAGTGGCCTTGAAGAACCTGAAGAATGATGAGAAAATAAGTGTACATCTCAAATATACCTTGTTTTTTTAAAAAATTGGTTGCCTGTACAATTACATGCCATTCATAGAGAAACTGATTTTGCTACTGCAACCATTCTGCTCAAGCAGACATATAAAAAACCAATCACTAGTTGCTAAAGGTGCTGCCGATGACTGACTATTTTAAGTATGCTTTTAAAGATGGAATAAATACAGCGTGGTGTGGTGGTTTTGGGGACCGAAGCCTCTACAATACCAAGTTTGATCAACCTACTCAAATTAATGTCTGTTGAGCTTTTTACAAATGCAGATTAGGTGATCAATGAGGCTGCAGCAAAAGTCAGACAGGACTGAACTAATAATCATAAGTCATGGTCCAATGCAACCATCAGTGCTATGGCTTAAAAGTAGGTTAAATAGAGATCTTTGCTTTTCTTCAATTTTTTAATTGTTTATTCTTGAAATATGAATACTTTTAGCACCCCTAGTTGCTCTTGAGAATATGGGGTGAGCTTTCTTGGACTGCTGCAGTTTGTGAAGTGAAAATATGCTTAATTGTGCTGTTAAAGATAAGGAAGCCCAGAATCTTAATCCAGTCATTATGTAGGAACATTTCAGGCCAGGGTGGTGATTGATTTGGAGGGGAAGTTGAAGGTGGTGTTTCCATGCCACTACTGCCCTTTACCTTCCAGGTGGTTGATGACTGGTTTTGGAGCTGTTGCCAAATAAACTTTTGAGTTATTATGGTACATCTTCTGGTATGGTACACAATAATGCCACTATGCAACAGTGGTGGATGGAATGCCAGTCAAATGGGCTGCTTTGTCCTAAATGGCGTCTTACTCCTTAACGGCTGTAGAGCTGTACTTATTGAACTATGTGCAAAGTGTCTCATCCTACTCCTGACTGTGTCTAATAGGTGTTGAATAGGCTTTGGGAGGTCCTAGAATTTCTGACCTTTTGATCTTCTCTTGTCGCTATGTAACTGATCCTGTTATGTTTAGATCAATGGTTGCCTTTGGAATCTTAATGATGATATCTTGTTGGGAGTGCTATTGAATGCCATAAGAAGGTGGTTAGCTGTATTGGTAATACAGATGATGGTTATTTCCTGGCATTTGTGTGGCATGAAAGCTCACCTGCCCCTTATCAGCCCAAGCCTGGATGTTCCAGGTCTTTGTGCTTGCATGTATGAACAGCTTCATTATTCAAGAATTTGTAGGTGGAATTTGAACATTGCAATAATCAGTCAATATCCACACTTCTGCAATCATAATGAAGCTGCTCAAGATTGTTGGGTCTGGGGCACTGCTCTGAGGAACTTTGCAGCCATATCCTAAGACTTGTAACAGTCACATTCAATGTCATTAGTGGAAAATTTTGCCTAATCCCAATTGACTAACATTTTGTTTGAAATCCTTAGTTCTACAGCCAGTTCAGTGTTGCTTTAGTATCAAAGGAGGTCACTCTCCTCGTCTCTTTATTTTCACTCTCTTCGAAGTCAGGAACACGTCATCAAATCAAGAGGTGTGGTGAAGAAATAAAGGTTGCTGATGCTGGGTTGGCATATGCAAGAAAACTGGCTGCATGCTTTATTAAGATATTGCTGAGGGGAAACGTCTGGATTGGGAATAGAAAAGGGTCAAAGATGGAACTTGGAGGCATGGCAGATATGCTGATTAGAATAAGTAGGAAGTAACCTTGTAAGTGCAGTGCCACATATATAAGACACAGATGATGCAGCAGGATAGTATCGTCAAGTTAGTAACAGAAAGTAAATACAGAAATCAATGTAAGGCAATGATGGAATGACCCACAGAAGAAAACCCACACAATGGTGATTTGACCAGTTTGGTCGTCATGATGGGGTCTAAATTGAAGGATTCAAACAAGGAATGATGCACATGGATTTGTTAGTAACAAATTTATTAGTAAGTAAGCAGGAGTAATTGCTGACTATAAAAGCAGATTCAAATGCACCCTTTTTAAGGGCCATCTAAAAGGTGGAAGATGAAGTGGCAAAATCTGAGTGACATAATTCAAAGCAGCAAAGGCAAAAATGCTGAATGAAAACCAAGTTTTAAGATGAATTTATATAAGCAGTTACAACTTCTTTTTATACTTTGATCTTTTTTTTTTCTAGTGATGCCTAATGATAGGATTCTTTTCATATTAGCAAACCCGAATGTAATGAATTTTCTTGATACTGAACGCTTGCAATTATAATTTTCTTCTTGCTTTATTTTTGCTGAAGTGGATGCAAGAGATGTGGAAATCTGAACCTTGCTATGCAAACTATGGTGTCAATGGAACAGTGTGTTCATTTATTGTGTATCTCAGCGAGGTATGTTACTTTAAGTTCTTGGAAAAAAAAAAGTTGTCTAACATTTTGGGGTTACATGCCATGCATGCACAAATTTATGCCTTACTTATGAGCACTCCTGCAACATCCAATTTTCAATAACTAATAGTCAGTCTGTCATTTAATGTAATTTCATCGTAGTTTTCTCATGCATTCTACTTTGG